AACGTTTTATTTGGTTAAACGAGGTTTTAAATTACTGAAAACAAGAAACAATTGTAAACAAAACACGACCTCTAAAGACAGTGCACCGGACATAACTAACAATACAACTGTCTTCAGATGATCCATAAGGATTAGAAATGTACTAATATAAGGGAGTATGTTTTATATGTGGGTTTCTTACTTAAATAGTAGCTTATTGGTATGAAAAAGATAAAAATGCACATTTAATTTGGATCTATTACATGTTATGAAATATCTATTTTCGTAGTCCGCCATTTGTTTCTTTTATTCGAATAAATAGCCTACCATTTTGTGAACTTCTGCAAATAAAATTTTTGAGTTCGTATTTTATATACTGGGCTTGTAGTAACCTTAAATCATAAATCATAATAAAATTTACACGTTAAACGTCATTACAGAATTACATTGTAGTGGTTACGTATTTTTAAATAGAGCTATTGAATTTAAATAAATATTTATCAATACATTATAAAGTGGTAGGCCTAATGTATTCATGGATTGCATTAAAAGTTGGTCTATGCATAAATACAACTTGTAAATTTCTTTTATCGTAGGCTATTAGTGTAGAACCCAGGTCATCCTCTTAATTTTGTTGAATTAATATTAATTTTACGTCTTTCAGTAGGCTTACTTTTTAAAAGTCTGGAGTTTTTTTTCCAGGCTGGTTCTATCTTATCCAAAAACAAAGCTATTGTCTATTGTGTAGCTCAGTACTGGGGAACAGTGAACCGAGCAATGGCTTGCTATAGTTTATATCGTTTGTGAAAGCAATATAAAGGAAACCCAACACTCAAATCAGGAAAATCCGTCAATTAGTTTATTAAAAATCGTTAATTAAAATAACCCTGTCACGTTTTATTATATGAATATTATATCTTCTCCTATTTTTTACTAGTGGTGCTTAGGTGTACAATCTAAAAACTGTTTTAAAACATGTAACATTATTGCTAAAAAATTCAACACATTTTAGAATTAGGCAACTATTTACTAGTAGGCCTACAATGCTTTGGTTCAAACTATTAGGCCTAGATAATAACTTAGTCTATGTCATCATATGTGTACACGTAAGTTGGACGGTTCAAATACGAACATTAAATTTAAAATCTATGAATTAGTTATGAAAGTTACGATGGTTGATGACTGTATTAATTAATGGTTTTGGTTTATTACGACATTACAATTAAATCTGTTTTCCGTGTTTAAGAACTTGCGTGTATTTTAGCTTAATTTCGTAGAGGTTTAATTATTTATTACCAATTAAACTAAATTTTGAATATTTTTCATATTCTATTATTTTCTTTTATACTGATGGCATTTATATTTAAGATCGAAATCATAAACATTTAACTGGCCATTGTACAGTTTAATAAAAAACATTTTTTCATGATTTTTTAATTGTCTTTTAATTACTTTGGACTAGTTATCTGTTAAAAGTGGAATTGATAACAAAAAACAATAACATTTACTGTATCTTTATAGACACTGACATTTTGAAATACGGCAGTGTACGATTATTTTGTCGTACAAGGTTGGCACCGCTCCGAGCAGTGGGCGCGGCTGGGTTAGCGACTTCCAGAGTTAGCGAATTCCGCCGCGAGACAAAATCGAGTTAGCGGGTTCCGGAGTTAGCCAATTCCTGACTGAGACGGTTAGCCAGTTCCAGAGTTAGCCAGTTCCGCCACACGACCGAGTTAGCGAGTTCCTGAGTTAGCCAATTCCTACGTCTCGTATATTGTAGACTCTATTAGTGACTTCGCTCTTTGTAGTGCCTCCTACACCATCGGAAAATATTGACTCCACTTTAAATTTATAGAAATGGTTTTTAAATTAATATTGTTTTGGTTTTAAACCCTATGTGATTTATTTTCTTTTAATTCATTTATGTTCATAAATTTAAATTAATGATACACAAGTCAGCCATGTTATCTTATGGGACGTCTGGCGCTAAACAACACTACTTGTGACGTTGCAAATTCTACCAGGCCACGGCCTGGATTTATAGGTGGCCGTGGCTAAACAGTATCATAAAACAATTTTTTTTACTTAAATATTCAGTCACAGGTACTAAAATACCAGATGCGAGGCATTTTTTGATACACTACTGCACACGGAAAAAATACCTGCAATGGTGTAGGAGGCACTACAAAGAGCGAAGTCACTAATAGTCTACAATGTACCATTGACAACCAAATTTTGAATGCTAAGGATATGTTTAACTTTTGTTAAAAAACCTTAAAGGTATTCAATACTTTTATGTAGACAGTGAAGAAGTAGCAAAAAAAGAATTAGAACTTCGATTTTGATTCAAAGGACATCTACCAATTCCCTGAACACAATCCTTTCACAGATTTGTACCTGTGGCAGACAGCAAAGTAGAGTGTTTTAAAAAACATCAAAATGCTTAAAATCTATTATTAAAATATAAAACATTAGTAAAATACATTGATAGTGTATTATAATATCATATTATGCTTCCTACGCTATTACACGTATAATGCTTATTTGAGTACTTTACAATGTTTCATAACTTTAAAACCAGTTGAGTCCACAAAATAAATTTATTACAGGATAATACTCTTACTTAGTACTATATCTGAGCCAAATTTTAAATTTTTATTTTCATGCCCAACAGAGATATTAAGCGTCAAACTTTTGAAATTTTGAAAATTTTAAGATTTTGAAATTTTGTATTTAATACCCTATGCAAGTCCACAACTTGAAACTTTGAGAATTTGGAGTACATACCTATAACTATCAGATAAAAAAATTACAAACACATAGTCAATTGCCTTTATGTAAAAATAAATTGTTAAAAATGTGTTTTCGTAACATCGTTGCGTTAAACTTTAAACAGGTAATTAGACCTAAATATTTAGTTTTAAGTGCATAACTATATTACCATATTAAAGTTTAGATCTTTCTGAAGAGATTGGTTTTTATTTTAATGTTCTAGGATTAGTAGAACCAGAGATATTTAATTTAACGTAGAGCTCTGAAATCGCTGAAAACGGGCATTCGACTAACAAAAAAATGGCCGCCATACAGTAGAAAAATTAAATAAAAATAAAATAATTGTATTTTTGTACTTCTAATGATATTTACTTTTAAGGATAAAAATATGAAAAAAATTAAAAATCTTGAAGCAACCAATTTATTTATTTCTGGACCACTTGATATGGATTGACCCGATAGTGATTTTTACCATAACCTCAACCTTACGCGAAACAACATCTTTCAAACTGAGATTTTCAAAACAATTAGGCCTACTTTCTTGGCTTCATACAGCTGGTTGCAGCCGTTTCATTCCCTATTACAACGTTATGTGGACATGGAGGCCATTAAATGAGTGTTATCCACATTTTTAGCTCTTATTTCCTTAATTTACTACTCTATGATTACTGTCAGATAAAATAAAATCGCTAGACGCAGACGACGTTTAAACGTTACCGGTACCAGTGACAAGACAAGCTATTGAATGCTTGCAAGTGATTTGCAAGTGATTGACAGGGAAATTAGTAATCAATTTAGTTTCTTTGTTATATCGATAGTGTTTTAACTTGGGTTTTAATGGAAACCAACACTCCTTAAAATAATGAAAAAGCTGGTCTATCAACCTTGCTTCAGCTATTGATTGTGGTTCATCATCACAAGCCCTTCCTTCAAAGGTTTACTAAATTAACAAAGAGGAAATTACCTGATGAGATTTAAGATATGCCTAGACTACATGATAATTTTAACGAAAAAAATCTCCATAAAACATGAAACTTAATTACATTAAAAAAATAGCATAGTTTGCTCCTGCTAACAGCTCTTGTATTGGACTATTCCTAGGCTATGCTATGGTTTAAGACGAATACTTGCAAGAACAAAGCTACTATAGCCAACTTGTTACATAGCCAAGTAGGCCTACATGTTATTTTTACTTTACAAATTTCATCATGTTTAAATTAAAAGCCGATTTCAGGATAAGTTGCTGAACTGTTTTCTGTATCAACTAGGTTGAAGCACAATTTGCTCTGACAATAAAGGACAATTTCTTGACATTGAAAAGTGTTATTCATAGAACAAGTAACTTATCACTATGGTTAAAAGTTATAGCAATGTCATTTTTAACATTAAAAGTAAAGAAAGGCAATAAACTCCAATTGCAATAGGCTAGGCTCTGTAACACAAAAAAGTATTTTTAAATAATCGTTTTACAGTTTTAGTGGTCTTAATTGTTGATAAGACATCTATAAATGAATCTACATTAAAGAAATAAAATGAGCTTTTAAAATATAGTTTGGTTGTATGTCCCTTGAACTTAATGAAAATTACACATAAGATGCTTAAAATAATGCAATATTTAAAAATAAGTACTAAATACGATGGGACACCCAACTATTTGATGCTGTTGTTGTAATGTTAGGTTTATAATGCCAACAAATTAAATACAATCTAGGAATAATTTGTTTTCCAAGTAATGTTAGATACAATACTGTCATTTCTTGTTTAAATGTTTGTTCAATAAAAATGTTGTTGCAATTAATTTTACATTTACCTAATGTGCGTGGAATGAAAAGTGTCTTTGGGAAAGTAGCTAAAATTGTAGCTGTAGCTACATTTCATTGTAGCTGTAGTTGTAGCTAGCTACTTTTTCGCAACTGTAGCTGTAGCTGTAGCTAAGCTACTCTTTTGGAAATGTAGCAGTAATTGTAGCTAGCTACATTTTAAAAGTAGCTTCCTCAACACTGTATATTTGTAGGGCCAAAGTTTTTAAAAACGTCATAATTTAATACGTTTTACACATTACCAAACAGACATGGTTTTTTTAACATAGGCTCATATTGAGGATAAAATAACAATAGGTAGGTAAAGTAAGTAACTAGGCCTACTAATAATTAATTTTCTTTATCAAGTTATGTGTTTAAAATAATTTAAATATGGTCCAATTTTGTTAGTGTTAACGAATAATATTGTATTTTATTTTTATTTTGCAGACAGAAGAACTCCAATTGGAAAACTCATCAATGACTATTTAACAAAGAAAGAAGATTTTCCTGACAAAGCAATACATCTGTTATTTTCTGCCAATAGATGGGAAACAGTGTAAGATATATATCCTTTTATTTTCTTTTGCTAATATTTTACCCCACAGAGAACTTGAGGTAGATTCTGATTGAAAAAGTTTGAAATTCAAAAGTTGAGTTCAAACAGTAACCGAAGCTTACCATAATGCAGTTATAAGAAAATAAAATCTATATATTGATCCTAGTTTTAACATAGGTAATGTAAAGATTGTTATCTAAATATACACAACTAACAAAATGGGTTCCACTCCTCACAATCTTTATGCCCAACTCAGAGATTAACACATCAGCTTCAACACAAGACACAACTGGAAATTTCCATAAAAAGCTTGTAAAAGATGTTGAAGACAATTAATTGTCATCCCTCCAACATTGTCATATAACAAATCAAGCCAAACTCATGCAAAAACCTCCACCAGCACTCCTTACAACTACAATAAATAATACTCAAATTAAATAACATAGGTAATGTTTAAACAATAAAAAAAACAAAAAAAACATGAATAGTGTCCATCAGCAAAGAAGAAAAACACCAAGAAAAATCCTCAGCTTATCTTAAAAAACATTAACATAGAAGTATATTAAATTGTATTTTTTGCTTCTCTACCCAGGGATTACAATCCCTACAGTATATGTGCAGTATAATATACAGTTAATGTGACATTCAGTCAACCAGATCCAGATCCAATCCATCCCTAAAAATAATGCAACGGCTAATCTATTGACAATGTGACATTCAGTCAACCAGAAAGTGGTGGTCCTAGGGGGGGGGGGGGATATTTGATATTTTATTAGCCAACATGTATACTACTAGCTTGTGCATATTTTAGAGCTTAAATACGTATAAAAATACATTTTTAGACTTAAAATTCCAAATTTCTTTTTCTTCAGTCCCCCCGGTGGTCATCCCGACCCGAAATGATATGCTGGGACCGCCACTCATACCAGAACCAGAGCTGTACCTCCTTCTCTTAATTTGTGGTTAGGCCTATAATCTCAATTCTCCTTCTGAGCTTTAAAAAAATACTCATAATATAGCATTTGGCCTGAATTTTTTACAGTAGTTTGGAGGTAAATACAGTAAATATGTTTATATTTGCTTTTATGGATATGTAGGCTATAGTAGAACCTCGAGTAACCATCACCTCTTTAACCATATTCTTAAGTGTCGCAGAATCCGTGAAAATATAATAATAATGTATATGGTTCTTACCGACTACCTTCTACGCAATCAGAGGTGATATTCTACTACGGCCGTTTTGGAGATATCTCCATCGTCAGGTGGGTAGTGGTACACTAAACTATAGTCTTGTCACATTTTACACGAAAAGTCTTGATTTGCATTGTGTCAGGGGTTGAATAAATAGTACACATATCAAAACAGGACGGACACACAAAATCACGAATAAACGAAAACATTTAGAGTGCGTGAACGGCTTGAAAACTGACGACCTACAGTGTCAAAAATGACAGTAACATGTTCAGTTGGACCTTCAGTTTGAGACCTCAATCATGAAAATCGGTCGGGTAGAAGAGCCAAACGAACTCGGATAAGAAAAATCAAATATTTTTAATATATAAGATTGTAAAATATCACACTTAAAACAAAATACAAAGATAAAGTTATAGACCATAAAAATAAGCAACCCTAATAATGAAATAACAATGGTGTGTTTATAGTTAATTTTTAGGCCTTTAATATTATTAAGAAAATAATACTTTAATTACCGATTGCCATGTTATGTTTGCCACATCAATTGCGTTGTGTGCGTTAAATGACAAAAGTAAAACTCAAAATAACCTATAGGTGAACTGTATTAACTTCTAACTAATGTAATAACATTTACATAAAGTAAATACAATTCATCTAAAAACATGAAGGATAGTAGTATTATTACACTACATTCGCCTGTTGAGTTTGATTATAATTAAATCGTCCTAAAAATAAGCAGTTTATATCTATTTTAAGTGTTATTGGACGTATTTTTTTTATTTATTTTCCGTAAGTAAAACTCCTAAAATTCACAAAAAATAAATATAGGCCTAAACCTAGGTTTTGCAATCCCGTTAATCCCAAGATTTATAAGTATCAAAAATCAACTGGGATCCCATGATTGAGACTCATACCCACAAGGTATGAGAGGATCACAATTATCTCTCGGCCCCATTGTGCATCACATGCAAACCGCGGGTCTGCTTCTGATATCAAACATTGTAAAGTGATAAAAGTTAACACACAAAGATATAGCTAACAGTATTGATTACAGTTTTTTTTATTATCTTTTTTTCTATTTGTAAAACATAGCCAATTGAATAAATTATTATGTGTGTTTTTTACAGACATAAAATTGAGAAATCATTGCTTCAGGGGACAACTGTAATTATTGACAGATACGCTTTCTCAGGGGTGGCGTTTTCTGCTGTGAAACCAGTAAGTACCAGGCTATACATATACAATACACCCTCTCTTAATCCACCCCAGATCAACCGTCGGTTCAGACTAACCGCCTCTGTGTAGCACAAATATTGGTCGGTTTACTCACCCTAAAATTTTAAACTGGTTTAAAAGACTTTTTTAGGAATCTAGAGACTTCCGCTTTCATCCATATTCCAATTACGAACCATAATTGAGTCTGTGCAGTTCTAGTTTTGTTATGAACCAGATTTGATGTAATTTTTAGAGACAGATTGTAAATAAGTTAATAATGAATTTCGTAAATAAGTTTATAATAATCAGTGTGGTGAGTTTAACTTGGTATGTGTTCCTTGTAATAAATACATTAGGTAAGAGGCAGATAGTGTTACAAACAAGTTGAAACATTTATGACCAACATAATTACATTGCCCTACTTTCATTGATACTTGATTAGGCCAGCTAGTAGGCCTATAGTTTATTTCAATATTTCATAATTAATCCTTGCAAAGCTTAATTAACACCATTCACTTTAAAGAAAGAAAGAAGGAATTGATGAAGTTGAGTTTTTGTTTTTCATTTCTATACAATACCATTTAGACATACATTTATATCTACAGTACGGTATTTTACATGTTTGCATAGTTGCTCATTTTAACCAATCGTTTATTTTATTTGATGTAGGCCCAGTTGGAAAGAGGTGTACTGTGTTATGGTCTAACTGAGACACTTGATTTGTGTGATCCTCCCTCTAAAGTAGGATTCAGTATGAATTAATAACCTAAATTCAATAACTTAGTAATTTTTCTAGGCCCATGGACATATTTCCGAATAAGAGGACTAGGTGTGTCCCAGGGCGGCAAATTTGAGGGTGCGGCAAAATTAGGGAGGGATAAATAATAAAAAAAAGAGAGGTTTTAATGTAAAAAATGTAAAATACCCCCGCCGCAGCAAACCTGCCGACTAAGCGAATTTCCATTTGTCTTAATTGATTTTCAATTAAATATATTTTAATAAAATTAGGTTTAACCAGTACCTAGGTTTGCTGCTACAAGGAAACTAATAAAGTGTGTTTTTTTGTAAAATATTGATAGCTAAGTACAAAATAAATAAATTTGGTCAAAATACAAAATATATCCATAAACAAGCAAACTACAACATTTGACAATATTCTCCATAAGAATAACATGGGAATTTTAAATTTACAATTTTTTTTAATTTTCTCCGTTACTATTAACCGAACAAAAATACTTTTATATAGCCTACTATATTAATTGTTTTTTAAGCTCTTTAAAAAGGTCTAAAGAGAAATTGGGAAATTTTGTGTTTTGAGGGTCAAAAGTGAGAAAAACCAATTTTTACCCCATAAAACCCCCCGTAAAGCCCCGTTCCCATGGTCCGATCATGCTGGTTCGCAAACTCATTCAAGTTTATCCCGCTTTACACCTTTAAACCAAATTTCATCAAAATTGGACAAAAATTACTCAAGTTATCGCGTTCACGGACGTATATATATATATATATATATATAAATGCATTATTAAAAACTTAGTACCCTTTTTTTTTATTCATTTTATTTAACGACTAGTTTCGACGATAATGTCATAGTCATATTCAAGCATTAAGATCAGGAAACCGCACAACAATGAAATCTAATTTTGCAGAACATTTAATACAAACAGACCATGAATACAAAAGCATCTACGAAAATTTAAAAATCCTTGAATATGAAAAAGACAAATCAAAATTACATGTTAAAGAAGATTTTTACATTTACAAAAACTATAAACAACACCCAGAAAATTTACTAAACACAATGAACATCAACAAATGCAATCCAATATTTGAAAAAATCCTGCAGTTAAATTAAGAGAGAAAATTATTATATATAGTATAAAGACCATTTAAAACAGAAGAAATCTAAAGTCATCAAAACCTATGAAATCATATGATTGTATTTATTATTTAGATAAAATGTTTATTGTATTTGTTAGATATAAAAACAACATGACTATGACATTATCGTCGAAACTAGTCGTTAAATAAAATGAATAAAAAAAAAGGGTAATTAGTTTTTAATAATGCATTTATACATCAAAATAGTAGCCCTAATCACTACAGTTTTCTTAATATATATATATATATATATATATATATATATATATACTTTTGTGCCCACCCGGTTTGGCAGTCAGTGCGCTGGTAATTTACTCGGTGTGGCAGTCACCCACCCGAAAGCCAGTCAGCTCTCCCATAAGCCAGTCAGGTATGGCTTCCCGTGCACTTTATACGTATGAAAACAGCAAACCGGTGCTGCTGCCTGTGTCGATAAGCGTAACTGCAATACCAATGCGGAGACTGTCTCATCGTGTGTTCTATCGTGGAGTAGTGTAGCCAGTACGGCACCCTACCCTACTTTGTAGCGGTAAAACCCAGCGGTCTGTAACCTTCGTTTACTCCTTGTTACTATTTGTGTTGGGATAGTGATTAACTACGTGTTAATGTTTAAACATGTTCATACTCCAAATAAATATGATGCACCTCTAATAAGGATCGTCGAATATTAATTAATTATAATTGGTTAAATCTTGATCCTACCCGTTCATCATCTCATATTTTAAGTTATTTTGATTTTTTTTACCTTCAGTTTAAATTTTAGTCAACTTCTCCTTTATACAATATTTTTTATCCTAGTATTTACAGTGTTTCCACGGACCGGGAACTATACGGATTTTCTTTATCTCGAGAAATATACGTGAATCTTGTCCGAGATACTGGAACTGTTTTTTACGCAATTGCGTAACGTGAAGGAGTAACTATTACATATGACAACGATATTATTCTATCTGATAAGAATAACCATGAAACTACACTCGAAAGATAAAATATTTTTATAATAATTTCAATTTTACAAACAAACTATTACAGGAATTATATTTTGGGACGGATGAATGATAAGGAAGCAACAAAAAGTGGTCACGAGTGCAAATACGGGGGGGGAGAGGGGTACAATATAACGAACGCCAGAAACGATTATTTGTTTACTTTTCAGATTCCTTATCAAATCTCTCTCTCTATCTCTCTCTCTCTCGCTCTCTAACAATGTACAGATTGTGGACTTTACTATTTAAGTTTTCCTGCAATTATTTCAGTTCAATCCCATACCTATCCTTATGGTTTCCTATCTATTATTTTTCAAAATAAATAGTAAAGCAGGTTAAACTATTTTTTTTTTTATTTTCTTGAAACCAAACACTCTTTACCATCCGGTATTCTGCAGAGTCAAATGGTTAACACTGTGTTTATAAAAATTGAATGGCCACACAATTTTGTGTTTTATTTTTTTTTACTAATAGTAACTGGGATATTTATATATACCAATAAGTGCTGCAAGCTGTAATAAATGCTGCTGATTAATATCAAAATAAGTTTTAATTTATTTTGTATAATACATCGGTCATTGAATACAAACCATATAATGGGTTTTCTATTTGTAACTTTAACTTGCAAATACAGTAGAACCTCGCTTAACTGGAGTCGCATCATCATGATGCCTATATATTATATAACCGCACAAATCCCAAGAAAATGTTTTATTAACTGTGTTTTTCAGTCTTATATTTCGATATGAACGATATATTTAACTATTTACGGTAATTTTTATGTGCAGTAGGTTCCCAATTATTGAAATATTACAGTTCATTTAACAAAAATAAGATGGAAGCAAAACGGAGAAATATCGATCAGTATCGTCAAGGTCAACCTATACGCTCGCACCTACAGACTGACAATCTTGCACTGACACTGACATACTGACAATCGTCTGCTTCTGTCTGCTGTCACAACACTACAATATTTTGTGGTTGGGTCGTTGGGTGATTAGTAACCATGACAACTTGTGGATGTAGAGAAACCAAAGAAAGAATAGAACAAAGAGAAATAATAAGAGGTGTTTTACATCATTTTTATCTTATTTTTATCATTGTTATTATTACCAGAAAGACTTGAGTACAGTACTATGATTTTATGGTGTTTTATGAGTTATTTAATATTTTTATCCCCATACTTCTGTTCTGAAACATCATGTAGTAGTAGCCTAGGATGACTACGGTATCAGTAGTCTTCTAGTCTACATTTTCATTTTGTTTTGTTCTTTACGTGATTTATTGCTGTACAGTAAGCAAGTTTTGTTTTGTTTGAGTAAGCATACGGTGTAGTTTTTATTAGTAAACCAAGGTTAATGACTTAACATATCACGGTTGCGCAATACCTATTGTATTTTGACTATGTAAAATGCAAATTTATAATCACGTTAACGTCCATTTATATAGTGTCCCGGAACGGCATTGTTCCTGAGTAAGAAACATATAAATATCATATTTAAACTATCCAGAAGTCCTTAGTTACTCACACGGGGAAAAAAGTTTTAGGCCTAAATCATTTGAAACCTGTACATTACATATTTTTGGTCGAGTTTTCGACCACTGGACGACCACTAGTTAAAGTTAATTGTATTACAACAATCTTTATAGTAAGCAATATAAGCTTGAATCGGACTTATCTGCCTTCAGCTAATCCATCATATGATAGTACGTTAGAGAGTATGCCCATGCTGAAGTTTTACTTATACTTGAAGAATGACTTAATTTAGTACCAAGAAATAAATAACACCCCTTACATACACTGTGCTGTTTTAATTCTGTGTAGTTGATTGCTACTGCATTAACCTGTGATCGCATATTAATTCATTCATTAGGAACGTATTTAAAAAAATACTACTTTTATTTATTTTTTTTTTTAATTTATTTACAATAACAGAAATGTGTAAGATTAAAATAAATTAATGTGTTGCATTGTCCATTTAAAGTTACATCATAGTAAATTAAAATTCCACTGAAACTTAAACAATAAAAGCCGAAATTAGTTATAAAGAAAACACGAGTTTCCTTTATATTGCTTTTACAATCGAAATATACATACTGAGCCACGGCTCGGTCCCCCGGTACTTTTCATTTTAA